TAGCTTGCCTCTTCGTGAAGAGAAGAGATGAGTCCAGAGCTCAGATCTAGATTAGGATAGCCACTCCTTGTGTGTGAGTGAAGAACAGAGAGAGAGCAGCAGCCCCTTTGCTCCTAGCATGTGAGAGAGGGAAGAAAACCAGAGAGGAAAAAGAGAGGGAGAGAGTGAGATTAGAGAGGAGATCTTTCAATAGATCAAGAGGGATTCGTCCACAAGGTCGTGAGCTTCAGATCCACAACCTTGCTGCCTCTAATCGGTGTTCCACCTTCATTTGGTAAGGTCTTTCCATCCCTTCCGTAGCAGCCCCAAATCTTGTTGTGTTTAGCCAAGATCTGCGAATCTTGATGTTTGAGAGCCTCTAGTTGCACCTAGAGATGAATTTGTAATCCCACGAACATATAAGTGAAAGAAGATTTGGCTGGCTTGGTCCCGTGGTTTTACCCCGATTTGGGAGTTTTCCACGTTAAATCTGATGTCTTGTTGTTTGCTGTGATTCTACTTGCAACTGGTCGTTTCTTACTGAAACCAGTTGTGACTGACTTATAAGTGATGACTTATAAGTGCTAGAACCAGTTGCAACTCGCCACACTCAATTGCAACTGATGGTGATGTGCTGAAACTTGTCTACAACTTGCCTGAGATTGACTGGAACTGATTGGGACCCGTTCCAACAACTTGTTATTTCCTCGATATGCATTTGTTTCCTTCCGTGGATAGGTGACGACCTGGGCTGATTCACTTTGGGTGAATTTAAGTCGCTTCCACTATCACTAACCAGTGTGTTAGTGTGGTTATCCCAACACACCTCTGACGAGACACCCCATGATCGGCGCTGACGGACTCGGGGAAGACGGCCTCGTCCTGTGGCGTGCGTGCCTCGACTTTAGGACAATGAAAGCACTGTCAGTAATGTTAAACATGTTTTGGCAGAAAATTAGTACAAACCCACTAGTATTGCCAGAAAACATAAAGCACAAGGTCTATCAAGTCATTTAAAGCTAACAAGTCATCAGGTCGATGTAGAAACTGGACAACTCCAACTCAATATCATCGACATGGGTATGAGAAACTCAAATTCTCAGCAAAGTGTTACTGATCTAAATTCATTTACAGGCAACACATGTATTTTTTTTTGACAAAAGCAACAACTTTATTAGCAGCATCTTGTTCAGGAAGGGATTGCAAGATGTATTTTGCAGCGCCAATTTGACAGGGCAGCTGCTAACATGCATAGTATTGTAACAAGAAACATGTGCTTGCATACAAGCAGGATCAAGAGATCTAAAAGCCTAAGTGGCTAAAATATGCACAGTGGTGTTGTCTGCCCTTTGAATTTTGAGCACATGAACCCCTTGCCTTAGATACTGAGTTTCTGAATCTTTGGGTAAAAGCCTTGGTTTCCCAGTGTGGAGGGTGATCAAGATTGACACCATTAAAGTAGTTTGCTAAAGCTTGACTGTCAGTGAGGAAAGAGATCCCTTCAATCTGAAGTTTCAAAGACACTTGTGCAGCAAAGGCTATGGCAGCAGCTTCTGCCATGACAACTGAAGTGATATTATGGATATGCACTTTGATGAGAAACCTGATGTTGTTTGCCGGCGGGTCTAGAAGGACTCCTAGTCCTGCTTTCCTTGGTCCTTGGTTCTAGTTATCTCGAGTCGTTGACGCATCAGTGTAGCACCTAGCACCTGAAATCAACATAGGGTACCTGCAGAAACTTTGATTGCTGGAGAGGCCCAGTTGTTTATCCTTGCCTAATGTAGCATTGTCTTCGCCATTTGTACCTGCAGAAGCAGAAGTGCATCGCTGCAACTTCATGTTAAGGTGTGACACTTGAATGTCCGCCTGCACTGAATGGTGGACCTGCAAAACAGAATATTTCCTGCGGTTGAACCGATTGTCATTCCTAGCCTTCCAAATGTGCCACAGAGTGGTTATGATCATTTGTAGATCATTGTCAGAAGTGCTATTGGCAATAAGAATCGCCAGGGCCTCTTGTATCCCGTCCTGCTCAAAAGGTAGCATGGAAGATCTTATGGAGGGTTTGGCTGAGAACCAGACAGCCCTTGCAAACGAACAGTGAAGGAAAAGATGTGAGTCATTCTCAAGCATATTGCAACGTGGAGCTTCAACTCCCTTGTGCTTCTGGTATCGTGATGTGTGTGGAAGGAGAGGAATCGCCGCACCTTCGACCATCGGGCGGCGACGACGTCGGACCTGCTCGGCCGGATCCTAGAGGAGGCGAACATCTGGATTGGCACTGGCTTTAGGCGCTTGGCGCTGCTCGCGGCTTTGGTCACCTAGCATCCCCGAGTGAGCCGCCCTACCCCGTCGCGACATCCGTTACTTAGTACAACAGTTCTAATCTGCCACGCGGTGGCGATTTGTGTTATGTGTACCCCGGGATAGATAAGGCTCCTCGCCGTGTCTATTCTCGGTGTTTGTAAACTCTCCTTCTTCCACTTAATGAAGCACGTGCTAAGACACGCTTTTAAAAAAAAACATATTGCAAGGTGTGCAGTTATTATTAATTTTGGAAGATAAACTTCCAGCTCTTGCACCTGTAGCAATTGCTCTCCTAATCAATCTCCAAGCAAAAGTTTTGATATTAGGAGAGATCAGTTTGTGTTTCCACACTCTTTGCAAAATGGTCGTATTCTTAGTTGAGACACTTCTTGCTCCACTAGAGGGAAGCTGAACCTGCAGATTGCTGTTTAAAAATGAAAAGCTTGCTTGGCTGAACATGTTCCTTTAGAAGAAGGCTTCCATTTGACTGCATCATTGTTGGTAGAGGGAACAGTGATGATATTATGTATAGAACTAGCTGCTTTGGAATCATAATTGGCATTTTTATATTGATCAACGAGCATAGGGCACTCACAATGAAGACTCTACCATAGAGTCTAAATTATTTATTACCTCGAAGATATCATAGACTTGAAGTCTAAATAAGACTTGAAGTTTTGGTTTTTCCTTCTCTATCTTCAATAAATATAATGCCACATCAACATAGTGCTATAAATAGGAGAATAATAAATAGATTTAGACTCTATAGTAGAGTCTGCATTGTGAGTGCCCTAAGCAGAGTATGAAGTATTAGATGTAGTAACCAAGCAAGTTCACCAGATTTTTATGGTTCACTCTAGACAGAACAAATATCTGAAACAGGAGTGGTTAATAACTTAATGTTCAGTAAGATGAGACACACACAGTGAAAAATTAGTTGACTTGACTGTAGCTTTGCACATTGTATAATAACCTTGTTCTTAAATTGCTCCAGACCTGTGGGTCCAATCTTTGGCAATTTCTTGTAGTTAAAGAATTAGTATTTTGGCCACATGTTGGTAATCTCTTGTATTTTTTAAAAAAAAATCTAAATATAAATCTAAATGCTAATAATAGTTGTCATGATCTGCAATTTAACAAACGTTCATGATAACAGGGCATCCAAGCTTTCCCCTGATCCTTGATTTGTACACAAATCGTTTAATTCATAGGAATATAGATTGAATCAAATCGATTGTCAGTGCATGATTGTGTGGTGGATTTGGTCAGATGACCCTTCTCGTGAGTCATCATCGCTGTATGCTATGATCTTCCTTTACTCTTGGGTCATAATGTTGCTTCAGCTAGTAATTTTTTCTTCTACCTTGAAGGAAAATGTTAGTTTCAAAATTTTATTCTTACTTTAGAGGATTATTTCCTTTAGTTTGTGTGCAGTCTTAAAATTCTCCATTAGCTGGCCTCTTTCATATATATGAAAATAGCTTCTTCCATCAACTGAAAATAGCTTCTTGGCCTGCATTGACCTTGCACATGATCGCTACCCGCCGGAAGAATTATTCACCACACGGGATGGTGTTAGCTCCCGCATGGAGGTCTTCGAGGTGGACGTTATTGGGAGGCGGCTGATCCCACTGAACGGCATGGGCAAATATGCAGCATTCGTTGGTAAGATTTATTCTGTCATGCTTCCTACTGACAAGTTTCCAAAGCTTGCTCCCAATTCGGTGTACCTCAACTACCGCCACCAGAAATGATGTGACTTGGGCATCTACTGCTTCAAGGACAGGAGGATAAGCCCACCAAGGGAGTTCACACAGGGTACTTATCGGAGGTTATTCCCTTGTGCCTGCCACTGGGAGCTTGCTGATTATCTAATGGTCGACTCGAACAGCTGAGGTAGTACTTCTTTGCTTCGCTTATGCTGGCTGCTAGTGTCTCTCTCTCTCTCTCTCTCTGTGTGTGTGTGTGTGTGGGTGTGAATTTTTTGTCACGAGGGATAGCAGTCACCCCCCATGGCTTAGATGCGTGCCACATGATTAGTTGTGCGGTCTGGATTGCCATACTTGTTTTAGCAAACAGCTGCCAGGCATCTGTTGTGCTTGCTCTTTTGTGGCAAGTGGTCCATGCACATGCAAACTGAGGACACCCATACACAATTTTGTATTGTTTTTGGGAAGTGATCCACGGTGCTGGAGTCCCATTTTGTCCCACCATGGTGCTAGCCGATCTCTCTCTCATTTCTCTCAACTCTCTCCACTCGCATAACTTTGAGAGTGGGTTTTCTCTTACTTTTAAAATGTAATATCAGATAAACAGATAGTCCGTTTGATGAAACTTTTGAAGATTATTGTTGAAAATAGGCCACACCGCCGATCACGGTGCGGCTTGACACACGGCGTTCGCGGTGCGGCTTGACACCCCGGAGCCTGCCGAGGTGCCCATGCCACGGACCGGCTTACGAAACTTACGCCCGGGCTTGGGAGCGCTCAGCTTGGATGCCCATGGCAAGCTTATATTCATCGATGTTGGACATGTTACAGATCATCCTGCTCGTTCAGAACACCACCTTGCCGTGAGGACAAGCAAAGTCTTTTGTCCCAGCACCGGCACCGGGGACGAGGATGAAAATAACAGTAGCAAGTTACCATTGTTATGAAAGTCTACAGAGAGAGAGACACTAGCAGCCAGCATAAGCGAAGCAAAGAAGTACTACCTCAGCTGTTCGAGTCGACCATTAGATAATCAGCAAGCTCCCAGTGGCAGGCACAAGGGAATAACCTCCGATAAGTACCCTGTGTGAACTCCCTTGGTGGGCTTATCCTCCTGTCCTTGAAGCAGTAGATGCCCAAGTCACACCATTTCTGGTGGCGGTAGTTGAGGTACACCGAATTGGGAGCAAGCTTTGGAAACTTGTCAGTAGGAAGCATGACAGAATAAATCTTACCAACGAATGCTGCATATTTGCCCATGCCGTTCAGTGGGATCAGCCGCCTCCCAATAACGTCCACCTCGAAGACCTCCATGCGGGAGCTAACACCATCCCGTGTGGTGAATAATTCTTCCGGCGGGTAGCGATCATGTGCAAGGTCAATGCAAGCCAAGAAGCGTACCATGAGCATCCTCCGGTGGTCTTCTTGGGACCGGACAAGGTAGGAGTAGGAGCCCGTTTGAGAGCTGACCGCCATCTCCCTTGACAGGTATACCATCCGAGGCCCGCGCAGATCCACCCTCATCACATGGCCATTTGATGTTGTGACATAACAGTGCCCTCAGAAGGACAGCAGCGTGTAGAATTTAACCTTGCCTTGGGCGTTGTACAAGGGTTCCCGCAGCTCGCCAAAATGGACAGACACCCAGTACTGATCCCCGGGCTTTGCGCAGATGATGCGATTCAACCTGTGCCTGAGGGCGAGCACGAGGGTCGGGGGGCTCGTCGAGTCGTCGATCGCAGCACCATTGATTGCTGAGGGGTCGGGGACGCTTATCTTGGGAGTGTCAATGACCGCGACACGCATCTCTTCTTCCGTGAGTGGTCTATTGAAGAAGGCCTTGAAGGCCGCGGCGGGCGTCTGCTTCGTGGCCCGCACGTCGGTGATGGCAGGGAAATGGACGAGGGCGCCGGTGAGAGGGTTGAGAAGGTGGACGGCGCTAGTGTCCTTGTCGCAGAGGACGAGGAGTCCATCAACGATGCCGAAGCAGTGGTGGGTGGAGAGCTCTGGGCGGTCGACCTCGGCACGTGCACTAGTGCAGATGTTGATGAGGCGGCGGCGCGACGGGGATGCGCAGTAGGAGACCGCGATCCAGTGGTGGGGGCGGAAGCGGGGGTCAAGCCCGCCGCCGGACAAACTGGGGTCGTCGGTGCACTTGCGCCAGGGCTTGCACGCGGATCGGAGACGAAGGTACTCGGAGACGTCGTCGGTGAGAAGCCGGGTTGCAATCTCCTCGAGCAGCTCAGTAGGCAGATTGGCCCAATCCCTCCTGAAGACGAATTAGGGGAAGAAATTACTACTACTACTAAAAAGGGAAAGAGAGAGAGGGAGGGAGGGTCAGGCAAGGAACGAGGCCGCCGAACGCACCATTTTCAGAGACGGGTCCTTGGACGGCCGGATTCGCCGCTGCAGCGACGCCGCAACTGATTTAGGCCCCGTTTGGCAGGGCTTCACTTCACTAGTGAAGCCATTTTGTTTGCTTCAGCTCCACGAACAGCTCCACCGGTGGAGCTGAAGCGGTTTTGGTAAACCGTTTGGCAAAATGGCTTCCATGTGAGAGCATGTTTTTAGGGGCCTGGAGGAGGAGCCGGGAGAAGCCACTATTTTTGGCTCCTTCCCACCCCAAAGCTCTGTGAGAGCACGTTTTTAGGGGCTTTATCGGTGGAGTCGTTTCATTTTACCCCGTTTGGCACAAAACGGCTCCAAACGGCTCTTGAAGCCGCTGGAGAAGCCCTGCCAAACGGGGCCTTACTAATTGACCTGTCTATAAAAATGATAGGCTCTGTACTTCATTTGTGTATTGAAACATCTATTATTGAAACTAACATTATTAAAAAGTAACATCTTGATTTTTGTTGGTTGTTCTACCATTTTTGCCCAAAACATGCAACTTGTTGTTGGTAATGAAAATTTTACGGTACGAGTCCGCCCTAGGTGAATTCTTGGGCTGGATCCGCCACTGGGCGGCGGCGCTTGCGGTCAGTGCGGTCGCAGACTGCAAGGTCCGCCATGGGGCAGGGCCGCGGAGCTGATCGATGGCGCGGGGGGTGTGGTGCCATCACTTGGGAGAAGAGCGGGGAGAAAGCCGTTGAGGCGTCGAGGGTCTTTTCCAGATTTCTTTTTTTTCTTAATAAAATTTTAGGAGTAATAAAATTGTGGTGCACACGTATCATCATGAAACTTCAGACACTGATGATTGTGAGGAAGAGAGACGACGTAGGCTGATTCAAAGTGAACAGAAAACCAACCAAAGAATGAAAATTTGTCTGTGCACAAATAATAATAATACGCACGAGTTTGTTTGTTTTCCCTTTTCTTTTCTTTTATTATATTAGAACTACATCACATCTTCATCCTATTACATAGCATGCGTTCCTGGTTGCAGATTTCTTAGTGGGATGGCAGACGCATGGGTACAAGCGGCCTGAAGGTACGATTTTCTAATTATTATGGTCCATAGTTTTTCTCTTTTTTTTTATCACGAGTTATTCCACCTGTTGATTTTGCAGATCTCACCAGTGACCAAGTTAAAGCTGAGGCTAAACATGGATGGCTTACTGACGAACAGTATCTAGCTATTCTTTTTAACGCCGAGTACTACGGTGACTTGATCACAGACCCGCCGTTTGAGGAAGAACCCTCAAAAGGTAGCTACCTCTCCTTTTCTATTTTCGTTTTACTGTTTTGCTCAATGTTTGTGTAAATTGAGCTAATTGTTCTTTACTTGTTCATATGTCCACAATATACATACATCAGAGTGGTTGGGTCGAATATTTCTCTGCGATCGAACGTTGAAGTTACCTGAGGAGTGGCCGCAATCGAAAAATCTTATGGTAGAGGTATGCACGCATCAATGACTTTCTTCCGTTACAATAATGCATCTTGATTGCTCACTTCTTTATTTTTCTTCTCTGACTCTTGGCTGCTTAATTAATCTATTAGTCTTCCATTCATCTCAAATTGATCTTGGTGCTGAGATTAATTTTTGGGTACACTGGGTACACTATTATCACAAATATTTGTGGCCCCACCACAATCTATATTTCTTACTTTTTGATGTGAATGTTGCTGTATGAAACCGCAGGTCAAGGATGCCGTTTTCATGTTCTGTGAAGTGAGTTTCACCGAAGCCTTGGAGAGAAGATTCTATGTTACAGCGTAAGTCACTTATCATCTACTTCTACTGTCGCGATTATTATTATATGCACTAGTTAAGAGGTTACATGTTTCTCATGAATGAATCTTTTAATGCAGATCTAGGAATTATTTCGGCCTCTACCACTACCACAGTAATCGGAACCTAGAACAAATCGATAGAGCGGCAACGAAGACCACCATTGATCGCATAAAGGCTGGTCTTGATGATGTTCTTGGTGCTGCTTCATCAAAGAAGTAAGAAGCGACGGTGGAGCTGCCTTCGAGTGCATATCCGCACTCGGTCCATCTCTAAGCTTGTACTAATAACCACTGCCATGCATTATTTTCAGTGACTGTATCCCTCGGACTTGCTAGCTAATGTATCAGCTAATTGTCTACCTAATTCATTTATGCGTGCTGCTTGGATTGTATGATAAGCTTGTTATCTACCTGCTGTCTCAGCACTTTTTACGGTTAATTTAGCTGTTGTTATATATGTTAGGTAACAAGTTTCAACAACTCTCCGTCCTTTTGTTGTTTGTTTGGCAGGACCTAAATTTATATTAGTGGGGCAAGTTTGACAAAAATTATAGAGCGAAACATAAAGATTTATAACATTGAATAGGTGTACTCCCTCTCTATAGGATTTAGAAGTCATTTAGGACATGATTGTGTTTACAAGGAGTGATTAATTAAGGGTATTTTTCCCTGCCTGTTTAATAGATTCGTCGGTGCATTCCATACAACAAGGGCTAGTGACTCAATTGGCTAGCGTAGTGCGCTGTGTGCCCTGAGGCCTAGGTTCGATTCCTAGTGGGCGCGTATTTTTTGCAACTTGCATAAATAACATCTTAAGTCATCCATGGTCATGCCAACCTTTAACTCGGTCATGCATCATGAAGATTTGGGATTTTTTTACTAAACAATTAAACTCTTATGAAGGAATGGAGGGGAGTGGTTCATAAATGCCTTCGCTTGGCTTATCGGTCGACTTTTCAGCCATCTGTTTTTTTCTCGCAACAAATCAACCAACGTACTTTCAACCATCAGCCAATAATGTTTTTCAGCTATAAATGTTCATGCAACCCGAGGCATGGCGGCTTGGCACAAAGCCCGTAATTTTGGCCCGGCCCGAGCTCGGGCTGGCCTAATGGTGCGTGGGCCTGGGTGAACAAAGACCATGGAAAGTTCTTACAAATTTAAATATTTATGAGACAAGCAAAAGATCTTAGTTACAGATTGTTCATTCAAGATTCACAAAGTTTGTCTTAAAGATAATAGATTAGCCATGATCCGTCACTGATGCAACGAATGGCCACAAAGAAACTGGCAGTCAATTAAACCGATAAAATGTTAAAAAAGTTTCACCAACCAAATAATTAGCCAGTCAAGTGGGATGCTATGCTTGTATCGGTTGTGCACCTCAGCACTTGTGTGCAGTCCAAAACTTTGTTCAGAAATACATGATTAACTGATAAATGGTGACGACATTAGCAAGATCAGCTGGTTCTGCTTCCATTTGTACAAGCTCTTTCCACTGGGTTAAGTTTATTTCCAACTGAAGGCGGAAAATGTGAAATGTGAAGAAAAACATAATTATAGTAGGAAAAACCAAAAGGAGCAATGTTTGGTCAGGAAACAAGATTTTCTTAATTCAAAAACAGAAAATATTCACAGCGATTTAATGCAAAACATCTGAGTTTTTAATATAGCTATAATTGATCTATTCCTTCTTGTAAGTGTGCCTGATCATACAGAATTATTTGCAGGAAGGTGGCACACAACTTGCATAAATAACATCTGAAGCCATCCATGGTCACGCCAGGTAAAAATAACTTGCATAATAACTCCTGAGCAAATCCTTGCCAAACAATATGCTAGAGCATTTCTAACAGTTCACAGCTTGATGAATGAATCAGAATACAAAGTTTTTTTTAAAAAAAAATGGACCCTGAAAACTGGAATTACCATCCAGCATAGACAATCAGAAATTCAGAACCACCAGCTCAATACTAGTGTCCGATAAAGGAAATGCAAATAAATAAACATGACCAACTTTTCTCATTCATTAACTACAATTTTTAACAGGATATGGAGACGTTTTTTTTTTGGAATCTGGAGACAAATGCTTATGCTTCTGTCCTTGCACAACATACAAGTTTTGCTATATATACAGCTTCAGTTTACTTTGCATTGTAGTTTGGTTCCTTAACTAAAATAATCTTCTGAAAAATTGTTGCACAAAAAACTGTGTTCCAATGGTTTTACTCATGAAATAATTCTGAAAGTAAGCTACAAATCATTTGTTTATATTGAAGGCTAATATGGTACAAAAGATATTGAGGTCATGGTGTGATCTTTACCCTGTCTAAAGTAGCATGACAAGGGAATATTGAATTCGAAATTGAAACTTTAGCAATTGAAGGCAAACAAAATTCCTAAAGGCACATAGTAGCAAAGTAATGTTTATTAAGAGAGATCAAAGATCATGATAGTTCAGTAATGAACAAATGTCAGGGAAAGCATTTCTGTGTCTCAGAACTTATAAGCAGGAGCCCTGATCATTACTTTCAATAGATTACTGAAAGAGTGTCACCACCCACGCTCACTGGTGAGATCAACTCCGGGATGTGAGCAGAGTGAGCATGAACCCCAAACAGGAGGAAGATGACCTTCTTTTTTCCCCTTCATATTTTCTTTTCCGCTTTCTCTTCTCTTGTTTTGCTCCTTTTCAACTTACTAGGTTGGTTTGCCTTCCACCTGGGTCCCATGGCTGGTTGCCCCCTGAAAACTTTGCTGGTCCTTAAGCAAAGTCGTGTCCTCGACCCTTGAATCCAGCTGACATAACTCTTTCATTCTGAACACACTATTGTCAATAGATATGAGCTAGTTGTCAAGGCAACTTGTCAGTATATAGGAATGCTATGTACTTAAGTGCCAGGTCGGCAGCAAAATGATCATCATAGTGTGAACTGCATCTCCAGATCAATCAAGCCAAAAATTCATTCAGTTCTGATGTGTGAAAATATCCTCTCCCTGATGAATTTCACCAGTGGATCCGAGCTTTAAAACACAGCATAACACAAACTGAATCCCATTGGTTTATACAAGGGTGAGCCATCTCTTGTCTACTCGAATCCACAGCTAGCAGAGACAGCACCAACAACCCCACACTCAGTTAAATTATCTGAATCCAACCATTGCATTTGGGTTGCCATTGACAGCTGCAAGGAGAAGCACCACCGTAGTGCTTGAAGAATGAAACCTTTTCCTTCTGGATTCTCCTGACTAATGACAACAAGCACTCCGGCTATCATTGGGAATAGATGCATGGATATTTCTGAAAACTTCTGAATAAACTGAAGTAATCTTGATAATTCACCAATGCTAGAGGCGCAACACATTAGAATATATCTCCAAATACAAAGATTCCAATGCCTAATAGAACAGTAAGCCCTCTTGTAGCCCACATCCATCAGATAAACACCAAGACATAACGCAAACTTCAAACACTTGTCACTGAGCTTAGAATGTGAGACCTTGGAGGGCAGCTCATCTGCTTTTAGATCCATCCACAGGATTGTCTTCTCATTTCCAATGTATCCTACACCCATGGCTAGTAGTTGCAGCAAGCATTTACTCAACTCCAGGTTAAAAAGCATCTCATCCCAAATACTAGTCATCTCATCATGCACTTGGTCTGTATAAGTCATTTCATGCTCTATGAATTTATGAACCACTGATATGCAGGAGCAGGTTATTGGCCTTCGCAATAGTGGTTACACACACTGACACATCTGAGACCTCGTGTTTCCTTGGCATTCTGCATCTTGATGACATTGGAAAGCTCCTTGAGATTTAGCAGTGTCTCATTGTCTGCAAACTTGTTAGCTCTTAGGACACAGACCTTCACTCCGCGTGAACCATTCCATGCCCATGAAATTGTTTTCACAAGCATTGACCAAGCAGATCCAACTCCATAATTTCCAGTGCTTAAGGTGCTTCTCCATGGTGGCATTGCATTGAAGACTTGAGCAGTGACAACCACTCTTGCCTTATAGCACAAATAACACAGCTCTCACCAATCATATTTCCTGGAAGCTGATAGCATGACATGCACAATTCAAATTTCTAATGTGCACAGTAATTGTTTATCTTAACTCCATAGTCCGCTCTATAAGACAGCTGATTAAGGAGGTACCAGGAGGACAGAGCTATTACACATTGGAAGCAATCCATATAATAGAACTCAGCAGCCATGTTCCCGGAACAATGGGAACGGGAATGTGGAGCGAGGAATGTGATACAACACTTATGAAGTGTTTTTACACTAAATTGTTTCCATTCCCGGGACGTAATCGTTCCCAAAACGAGGAAAATGGCCAAGTTCCACGTTCCTGGCTGCTAAGTAATAGAACTTAAGGCAGGAACAGGTTAATCACTTTTTTATATGCTGTTCATAAAAAACTTGAGGCTTTTCTCTCAGATCCATATTTTTATTTTCCATGAAACAAAGGCAAAAAAAATATTTCATTGCAGTTTTTTTTTTTTTACTTTTAGAAGTGATTAAATTGCTTCTTATAATTGATTGGCAAACATTGACACAAGGGAATTACTTTGAAAGATCTGGAGAACATAATCATTATTGGCTTGGGTGTTTGCCTAATTTTTTCTCCAATGCCCATCAATTCTGTAGGGTTTCACAATGCTGCTATGTTGCAACACAGGGTCAGTGTTAGTCTGTGCGTAGTCTACTAGTCTAGACAAAGTTTAGCTTAATTCCACACTAACACCAAGAAAGACAGATACATTAATAAGATGATCAATCGATAAATTAAGCCAAGAACAGAAATAAGGGAACCGACAGTTTGAAAATAACAGTAGCAAGTTACCATTGTTATGAAAGTCTACAGAGAGAGAGACACTAGCAGCCAGCATAAGGGAAGGAAAGAAGTACTACCTCAGCTGTTGGATGTCGACGATTAGATAATCAGCAAGCTCCCAGTGGCAGGCACAAGGGAATAACCTCCGATAAGTACCCTGTGTGAACTCCCTTGGTGGGCCTATCCTCCTGTCCTTGAAGCAGTAGATGCCCAAGTCACACCATTTCTGGTGGCGGTAGTTGAGGTACACCGAATTGGGAGCAAGCTTTGGAAACTTGTCAGTAGGAAGCATGACAGAATAGGTCTTACCAACGAATGCTGCATATTTGCCAATGCCGTTCAGTGGGATCAGCCGCCTCCCAATAACGTCCACCTCGAAGACCTCCATGCGGGAGCTAACACCATCCCGTGTGGTGAATAATTCTTCCGGCGGGTAGCGATCATGTGCAAGGTCAATGCAGGCCAAGAAGCGTACCATGAGCATCCTCCGGTGGTCTTCTTGGGACCGGACAAGGTAGGAGTAGGAGCCCGTTTGAGAGCTGACCGCCATCTCCCTTGACAGGTATACCATCCGAGGCCCGCGCAGATCCACCCTCATCACATGGCCATTTGATGTTGTGACATAACAGTGCCCTCGGAAGGACAGCAGCGTGTAGAATTTAACCTTGCCTTGGGCGTTGTACAAGGGTTCCCGCTGCTCGCCAAAATGGACAGACACCCAGTACTGATCCCCGGGCTTTGCGCAGATGATGCGATTCAACCTGTGCCTGAGGGCGAGCACGAGGGTCGGGGGGCTCGTCGAGTCGTCGATCGCAGCACCATTGATTGCTGAGGGGTCGGGGACGCTTATCTTGGGAGTGTCAATGACCACGACGCGCATCTCTTCTTCCGTGAGTGGTCTATTGAAGAAGGCCTTGAAGGCCGCGGCGGGCGTCTGCTTCGTGGCCCGCACGTCGGTGATGGCAGGGAAATGGACGAGGGCGCCGGTGAGAGGGTTGAGGAGGTGGACGGCGCTAGTGGCCTTGTTGCAGAGGACGAGGAGTCCATCAACGATGCCGAAGCAGTGGTGGGTGGAGAGCTCTGGGCGGTCGACCTCGGCACGTGCACCAGTGCAGATGTTGATGAGGTGGCGGCGCGACGGGGATGCGCAGTAGGAGACCGCGATCCAGTGGTGGGGGCGGAAGCGGGGGTCAAGCCCGCCGCCGGACAAACTGGGGTCGTCGGTGCACTTGCGCCAGGGCTTGCACGCGGATCGGAGACGAAGGTACTCGGAGACGTCGTCGGTGAGAAGCCGGGTTGCAATCTCCTCGAGCAGCTCAGTAGGCAGATTGGCCCAATCCCTCCTGAAGACGAATTAGGGGAAGAAATTACTACTACTACTAAAAAGGGAAAGAGAGACAGAGGGAGGGTCAGGGAAGGAACGAGGCCGCCGAACGCACCATTTTCGGAGACGGGTCCTCGGACGGCCGGATTCGCCGCTGCAGCAACGCCGCAACTGATTCGCATTCGCGATTGCCTCATCAGATCCATACAAAGGCAACCGCGGATTGGCAAGGCTCAGGCTCCAGCAAACTCGCGTCGTTGTCGCCTCCGGTCCGACGCAAGGGCCGGAGCCCGCGGGGGGATCAGTAAGAATCGCCCCAGATCCGCCGCTGACTGCGGCGGGATCAGCAAGTCTCGCCCCAGATCCGGCGCTGGGGCCGGAGCCCGCCGGGAGATCCGCAAGTTTCCGGCTTTGCGACCGTGTCCTCATCTCCCGCTCGCGGCGGCCGGAGTTGGTAGTCCAGGTTCCAGAAGCTAGAGTTGCTCCGGCTCGTCAGGTGCTGCAACAACAAAGAAGCCCCACCCCCCACCCCCCACCGCACCACCACCACCACATTTAAATGCCAGAGCAGGCAAAATCAAGTCAGATTCATCAATCAACAAAGGCATGAATGAAGAAAATACAAGATGCAAAATTGATTGAGGATCTGAAGATGGGGAAAATCTAGATTGCAATTGGAAAGAAAAGATGGAGCACCTTACGGAGGTGGAGGGGGCTGCTGCCCTTCAGATCCGCGTGCGGCAGCGGCGGACGGCCTTAGGGAGACATTTGAGCTGCAGCCGTCGACCAGCCGTCCTCATAACTGACCTTGAGGCAGGCGACGAACTTACCAAGGTCCTGCTCCTCTACATGAGCAAGTAAGTATTAACCTCTACTAGATCTATCTATCTATCTCCCGGCTGCCCCCGATTGTTTCCGAACGGAAAGGATTCCAAATACTCGTTCTGGAAGTTGTATCCGGTCCGGGTTGGATCCGGATCCGGAGCCGGAGCCGGGGCCTGGGTCGGCTATATCTATCTTCTGGACGCTGCTCTCGCCGGCCGTGCCTAATCCAGGATTTGTTTGGTTTCCACCACCACCAGCAGCAGCGTATGGAGGACCAGGGGGCGGCCAAAATCAGGAGGTTGGACCACCACCAATGCCTTAGCGACGCACTCGACTTCTTCCCATTCCCACTGGAGGACCTTCCGGAGGTAAAAATCCCCTCTTTTTTTGTTTCTGCCCTGTCGTCTCCTCTCTGTTCGATTGGGTTGTGGAATCACAAATTCACAATAAGTTGACGAAGAATGCAATCAGCCTTCAGTTCTTTTGGACATGAAGAAAAGAGTATTCTTTATGTTTTTATATGCTATAAGTATGCTATACCCTTTCCTTAACGAACCTGTGCAACAGATTAACCAAAGCGTTTTAAGATGCTTTCTGGTATAGGTTAGGACTTACGAGGCCTGAGAGGGGCATGTGCAGACAAACGTAGAAGGTTACATTCTCCTAACATGAAAGTAGCACATGCTTTTTGAATGATCTCTTGCCCCCACTTAATTTTATCAAAATCTCGTAATTTTATCTTCTCCTACTATGCTTGCTTTATCTTCCATCCTGACTTGTCCTGGCATCCATATGTAGCACTCTTCAGTGCTTCTATTGAGACACCTAACCTATGCTTATATTGTTCTCTAGCTCAAAACATAAAATGTGCATCATAAATTTTTAGCAAAGAATCATCTACCCCTCCCTGCTTGCGTAGTTTTTGGCATGAAATACAATGAACTTGGCTTGAAGACTATAATTTATGGCCATTAATTAGCTGAGCATAGTTCTTTTTGTACTTTGGTTCTTTTGCAGTATCTTATCTGCTCAGTGGCTGATTTACACGTGCTAAGCTTTTCCTTGCATAAACATGAAAGCATATGAAGTTTTGTAATCATGGTGTGTGCTCACTACTGAGTACTGTGTAATTATTGTACTTTTGATCAAAACTCAACCCTTGTTATTATCCTTTCTTGTGACAGGAAATTCAGCATTTGGTATTGTCCCTACAGTCACTGAAAGAGGCTGCAAGGACAAGCATTGTATCAAGAAAGTGGAGAGAGGTCTGGACACGGTGCCCTAATTTATGCTTTGATGGCACTGAAGATGGCCCCACTGATGAGGATTGTGTCAAAATAAAAGAAGCAAAGTTCATTGAGACGGTAAATTCTGTTATTCAGAAGCACACTGGTACTAGGCTCAATGAGTTCAGCATCAGGTGCTACCTTGAGAAGAACTGCTCAGATCATCTTGATAGGTGGGTATACTTTGCCACTGCATCAAAGGCGGCCAAGATTATAGATATGAACCTGGGGCCACATCGGAAAGATATAGGACCTACCAAAGAGGTTTATCATTTCCCTCTCGAGGCTTTAGATGGTCAAGATGGCCCTTTTGTCCAATCCTTGTTTCTCACTAATGTTTCTATAAAGCCACACTCTGACATATGTGGCTTCAAGAAACTTGGGAAGCTTCATTTGCACTGTGCTCAAATAATTGGAGATCTTCCAGAATTGTTACTAAATTGCCCTTTTCTTGAGGACTTGGAGCTCATCTCATGCTCTGGTATCGCAGAGCTGAACATACCACACCCACTCGATAAGCTTAGACATTTGCTAATTTGCAATATGGGTCTAAAGATGGTTGATTTTCATGTTACTGGTCTTACTCATTTTGGGTACCAAGGGTTTGTGATTCCCATAGTGCTTCATGGTTGCTCAAATCTAGAGAAGGTAACCATTACATTTTTTCGGATGCCATTGGCTGAACAAGTCAGTAACAAAGGATTTGTCTGTGCCATCGCTGGAATTATTCCCAGTATTTCAGCAGTCAAGGAGCTACATGTATGTGCTTCTATGCGGGAATATAATCCGGTCTGGCTCTGGTCCTTGCAGGTACCTAGTGTTCATCATTGCTTGGCCCATAGTTCAAATGATTTGTTAGTGTTTATAATTGCTTGTTTTGGTCATGTTTCAGGTGCGTGGGATGACAAGGCCGACATGCATGCTTGTAAATTTGAGGAAACTGACTTGTGAAATAACTATTCTCACTAATCGCCCAAATAGGCACGATGGAATTTTTCAGATGGCTCAGTTTGTGGATCTCGCACCCCGATTGGAGACACTAGAACTGCATGTGAGTATTTTTTTTTCTGTTTTATTTTTGCTTTTCTTCCTTTTTTTCATATAATGCTTTTCTTTCTTTGGCAATGAACAACATTAGCCTTCTATTTGATTCAGCCAGACTAACATGTGATCTCTAAATCTTTGGGAAACAGATGTGTTATTCTGTGGAGATTGGCAGCAGGTGCTGGTGTGGTGAGAGCGAAGTCTTCCCTATGCGCCGACTTGATCACCTGAAAACCGTCTACATGAGCGGGTTCCGGTGCTACCGGCCTCAGATCGAGCTGCTGCATGGCATTCTGGAAAACGGTGATGTGCTTGAGCATGTGACCATTGAACCAATGGTGAAACTAGATAAAAGTCCTGATGACACAATGAATATAGGGATACCCGAGGATAGGATTTGTGACTGGGCACGCCTCGCATCCGAACGCTTTGGTAAAGATATTGTTGTCGTCAAAGCCCCTCGACGCCGGATTTGTAAATGGGTTGGTGGCTGGAGTATTTAGGCTAAGTGAGTATTATAAGCAAAAAGTGTGGTGTGCTTCTGCTTCCATGAAACTTGAGAGTAAATTATGTCGTGGAGTGAGTTATATAATTTTATTTTATCGTCGGATATGGTAAGAACTGTTGATTGGCTACTTTCATTCAGCGGCCTAGATTGGTGTATACCTGGTTCTTTTTAATGTAACTCTGTATTAATTAATGTGTTACAAAGCTCCACTTTTCATGCTATCATGCATAATCGTTCACTTTAACATCACAAGGATACATGCAGTGATGCAGGCCCTCCTGCGAGTGGCCGACACAAGAAGCCGGCATATTCAGGCATAAATAAAGTTGTTTTGTTCTTATCATGAGAAAAACAGTGCAGAACATGTAGATCTAACAAAGACAACAGATTCAGCATTAAAAAATCAGTTGATGCATCAAAACTGCAAGCACAATAAACTGGTACAGGCATAAGCAAAATTCAGCAGCGTAGCTGTACAGATTGCATGGAATACGCATTATCCCTAGCAAGACTGGAAAAAACATAGTTCTAAGAGAATCAAAAAACAGGTTCAACCAGTTCAGTTTTGAGCTCTTATGCGGCATATATTACAAACTAACTCCATTTTATGGGAGAATGTTTTAAGATCGTGCCCTCCACCAACACCACAATGGAAGTTGCACAAACGAAGTTGGACACAGCAGACATCGCCTCCTCCCCATCTCGAAGTGAAACAGGACCCAATCAACCTGCAAACGATAAAACAGGAATCAGTTCAAATTTGTCCCAAAACATTCAAGCAATGAAACAAATAGATATAGATCACCTAGTTTCTAAAGCAAATTCATGTCATGTAATCATAAGCAAACTTTGTAAACCTGTTTAATTAAATATTAAAACATGATTACAGGAAAGATTCAAATTCATGCCATGTAATCATAAGCAAACTTTGTAAACCTGTTTAGTTAAATATTAAAACATGATTACAGGAAAGATTCATAACAGAAGAGATTCAGAAGCAAGTTATCTGTACCAAATACATTCAGGAGCCAAATTCTCTTTCCTAATAGAATTAGACTTAAAAAGTCCTAGATACAAATACACACACAATCCAACATGGCAGCCAGTGTCTTAAAGGTGTCGCCTAGACATCCAGGCAAAAAAAGCCTCCAGGCATCGGGGTCGCCTAGCTATGCGAGCGCACATGGCGTCCGCCTTGCCATCCTAGGTGTCCGCCTTTCGCATTAGGCGTCCAGGGTGTCACCAAGGAGGCAACGGCGGTCGCCTTGCGCACAAGGAAACAAGGTCTGGGCTCCAGCGCGCAAAAGCTCACATGCAAAAAGGAAACCGCAGAGGAAGAGGGGAATCAGGAGAAGGAATGAGGGGTGAAGGAAATCGGGTGGCACAACCCGGCTTCCGCTGCTTACCTGCGCACTCACGGTGAGTTCCCCCCGACACATCCCGCGTGGCTCATCGATTCCCTCTCTGATGCATTCCCACACATCAATTTTCAGTCGTTTGCTTGTCCTCCCGTCCGCATGCTGCGTTGATTTCGCATCGTCTGCCCAGACCCAGGGCTAGGATGAGTGGAGGACTGCTCGTCCTTGCCTCCACACCGGCCAGAAGCTCGTCCTGTTCTTCAGGGTGACCAGCTCCCACCTGCTTGTTTGTATGTCTCTTCTCTCCCTCTTCCTGTCCTCTGTTCTCTGCTACTCTGGTTCTACTCCTACTGGCTGCTCCTGTTTTTAGTCCTACTGGCTGCTCCTCTGGTTTATAGATGCAGAGTGGAGTGGACTGGACTGCTGCTTCCTTTCCATTTGTTGTTCTTTATTAGTTTTTTAATTCTTTGTTTTCACAGTTGATAGCACAATGGCAAGTTCAGATCCAGGGTGGAAGTATGCCTACTACCAAACCTTTGTAACAAAAATGTGGTGACATGCACCCTATGTGGTCACTCATTTTTATGGAGGGGATAAAAAGGTTGGAGCAACATCTGGCTGGTAGCTTTGGAGTTTGGAGATACAAAAATATGGACAATGACTACTGCAATTAGAAAGGAGATGAGAGATGACTCCCTAAACGATATTGACTAGAGATTAAAGTCCTGAGCTTAAGCTACTTACACATGTTCTGCTCTAGCAGCAGTGCAGCACTATTAATTGACATTATGTCACTAGAGACTAGTTTATGGCCATCAAGAGATGATAATCTCGGAATTACTACGGTACTTGATGTTGTGCATTAGTAGTCTAGAAGCACCACTTATTATTGTATTATATGCTAAGATTGGCAATATTAATGTCTGATTTGCTTCTGAATTTTTAGTTGACTTATATTTTAATATGTGTATATATATGGTGTCGCCTCGGCGAGCGCCTAATTTGCCTAATCGGCTGGAAGGGGGTCACTCCCCTCGCCTCGCCTTGTCACCTTAAAAAAAAAACACTAATGGCAGCAAGAATTAGAGTGCTCACCTAAATGTACAGTTCTTCCAAGTTTATGTCTCAAGATCAACAAATACTAGTACCAACAAGCAAAGGGTTTAAGGATTACAGCTTACTAGTATCTATCTTAAACTGGTTAAATCATCCAATAGAAGCCAAAAAAAAAAAAAAAAAAAGAAGAACAAACTCAGCAAATTGGTTCAGACCATGTCTAAAACTCACTGTATTCCAGGAATGACAGCTTAATTTTGTATTATCCTTTGGGAAATTACCAGAATATTTGGTACTTACAAAACTTCAAGAGATATGAACTGGTTCTTCTGAATTAGTTGATAGATCTTTCTATCTTGGTAAGAAGAATGAAAATGCATGTTGTCATTCTTTTCAAGGTAGTGGTAGCAGCTGAAATTTCTGTGGTCAATTAAGAACCTAGATGTATGAAGAATATATGTTGCTGTATTTATTTGTATGGATTTTGGTTGGGGTAGTAACCACAATTTACTACACCCTCCGTTCCAAATTATAAGGACTTATGTATCTAGACATAGCGTATATCGTATATCTAAGTGCATATCAAAACCTATGTATCTAGAAAAGCTAAAACATCTTATTATTTGATTGAAATAGAGGGAGTACATGTTTCCATCTAAATTCAGCATTTTTGGTCTACTTTATTTAATATTTCCTTTTTTGTTCATAAAAAACATACCTGTTTAGAAAATAATTTGCGCATTAGGTGTTCACGCCTTACAAATGTCCAACAATGGAAGTTAGCATTCCAATCATACATCTGTACTGTTCAAATGGTAGGGAAAACAGCCTTATAGAATATTAACTCAGTATCTATGTTGTACAATGCAGGTGCTTTGTATGACTAGAGGTATTTATGTCGACTGATTGAAGATAAGAAATTGCGATGAAGTTAGGCATTCCAGTATTTGTACTATGCTTCAAGCGCTTCAAAACACCCAAAACACCCATCAGGGAAAGTTTGACCCATCTCTCTATTTTATTCCTAAACGAAAGAAGGCCTAAAGCATTATAAAAAAAATTAACAAGTGTTTCATAGACTATGTACCTGTACTCAAATGTGAACCATGCATTGCTTTTATAAATACACACTCCAACATGGCATCAAGAATTACAGTGCTCGCCTAAATGTACAATTCTTTCCAAGTTGTTATCTCAAGTTCAACAAAACCAGTACCAACAAGCAAAGGGATTAGCGATTATGGGCTACTTCTTATCACTCTTAAACTGGTTAAATCATCCAATGAAATGAAAAAAAAAACTCAGACCACGACTAATACTCACAGTATTCAATGATTGAGAGGTATCCTTTGTACCGCTTCACCTCGTCCGCAGGATTAGCACCTGCAAGAAATTAAGATGAGACATAAAAAAGGGTGAAGTGGAAATAAATAGCGTGTAGTCAGAGGAGGTAAGGAAGTACCGAAATCCCAATGAAATCTCATAAATCCGTATTCTTCGTCTTCGTCTTCCTCTTCTTCCTTCTGACTACCTTCCTCAGATTCAGGTTCTTCTTCAATCTCATCATCAGAATCAAGGTCAAAGCTGTCGACAATGGGTGATTCGACACAGACCTTCTCAAAACAGCTGTAGTGGTCATCTTGTTCTTCCTCTTCCTCATCATAGTCGATGATATACTCATCCTCCTCCTCATCATCTTCATCACCATCGTCAGGCAGATGAACAGGGTAACATCCAATCAAGGACCTCTTCTGTGTGAGACGCGAGATGACTTTTTGCTGACCCTTGATTGACTCAATCGCCATAGTCTCGTAGATCAACACATCATCTATTGCTGTCATATAGGTTTTCAGAGCTCCTTTAGTCTGCTCAATGACCTGCTCAAGCACTGTTTCCAAATGCATCCGCCCAAACACAGCAAGTACAGAGCTTCTGGCCTTGGAAATATTGCTCGTAGCAAACTTGTATCCCCTCCTCTCTAGAATCGACTTGCGGACTGATTGAATCCCGCACGAAGATATCTCGCTGCTGCCCGGCACTGGCATGATAAGCTTGTGTTCGATGGCCTGTGATGCTGCAAGATCCACATGGCCTCTTCAAAGTCAGCAAGGCGAGAAGTAGAGTCCAATTGCAGAAACAGTAGATTGTCTAGGGCTCTCTCCTTTAGGTTTTCCAGCATTTCAAGTCTGCATGTTACACCTTCAGCTTCCCTAGCAAACTCACACCGCATCTGCATTAGTATCTGGGTCTTTTCCTTCCCTCCCAAGGTTTTGAGATGATCAGCAGATTTCTCAAATTGATCTTGAAGATGCTTGAGCACCTTAGAACTTTTCAGCTTTCCATTGGCGACAGTGTTGTTGAAGAAGACTGAACCGACCCGGGGCTTTTTTAATATACTTTCGGATCTGACCACCGTTGCCACCGGCGTGTAGGCGGGGTAATGGACATGTAGATCCCGTACACCCAGCTCCTTCGACCGATCATCCAAGCTTTGGGCGTCTACATTGCACGCCACAACTCCTCTCATCTCATTTCCCGAAATCTGCACCAGTGTAGTGGGGAGGCCATATCGAATCAGCGACTCGGGTAGACGATACCTCCTCTTCAGGAGATCCAAGGCCTTCGGGTTGATGGCGGCGGTGGTGGATGAGTTAGACACCCGCGCCGGCCCCGGCCCCGGCCCCGGCGGTAGATGAGGTAGCCGCAGTCCCGGCCCCGGCGGAGGGTGAAGGCGGTACGGGAGCGGTGGCCGAATTCATGGCAACGGCGAAGGTTGGGCGGCGGGGGAGCGCCGGTTAGCGGCTGCAGGCTTAAAGACGGCAACGGGCACAAAATATCCGCGTGCCCGGGATAGAAAACCTGATGAGCGTGGATATGGGTTTAGCTTGCGGTGGCCGAATTCAAACCATGGATATTTGCGTGAGCGGAAAAATGATATCCGGGCTAGACAGCCGGGGTACGAGATGTCTTTATTCGTGTTAATTTGTGATAACTTGAGATACACTAATGTAGACTTTTGATGACTCTTGTATGGCAATGTGTCATACTTTATCTAATATTGAGATATAGACGGATATATTGTTTCTTACTTGCTATTAAGATATGGTTGGATGCTTTGTTGCTTTATTTTTGGGGTATCTGGGTGTGCCCGGGCATATGATATCCGTGGATAGCGAACACGGGCATGGTTTTCTACCCGTGTGACGGTTAATGGTGCGGGAGCACGAATTTTTGCTCATGGCTAGGGCTAGTATCCACAGCGCCTTTACCTGCATCTTTATCACTGGGGTCAGACCGTCAGAGTCACCTGGAGCCGTTCTCTATGATTTTTAATATCCAACATTATTCATATCCACGAAGAACAACATCTAAACTTAATCTTATATCTTACTAGCAAATATATCCGTACGTTGCAACGAGATATACACCTTCTTTATAAAAATTAGCTATAATTTATTTATGATGATGATATCATCTGTAATATAAGTTATTATTCTATTATCAAAAAAATTAAAATTGAAATTAATTAATTTCTATTTTTTCTATCATCTCTCACCATAATCCCTCTTCTTACGTGGCTCGGTCCGTCGTCTGGAGCCGTAAAAGCCTTTGTTAGCATCGTTTATGATGAGGTTTTAGATAATAACAACCACTTTATTCAGTTGAGACATTTTTTAGTCAATTGTTTAAAGGGTTAATTGGACACACACCGCTACAATTTTTGCGTTTTTGAACCATGCCACTACTATTCGATTAGATGTAATTTTGCCAGCGCCATTGTAATTTTGACAAAGTTTGAAAGACGCCACTATGTACATCCAACGACGTAGTAGACCCACTGTCAGGCGTACAAGATGGTGGTGTATTTCCGTATGGTTTGTTTTACCCCTACTGTGGAAGGAATCAGCACGAGCTTACACTTCAACTCGTCCGAGTCGCTTCTATTCAGCGTCGGCCCTTCCCCACTCCTTTCTCTTCCCTTCCCGACCTCAATCCCTAACCCTGGACGAGCAGAGGCTACTTCACCGCGAAGCGATTAGCGTGACCAGCTGGCTCGGGCGGCGGTGGCGGCGGCGTCCTCTGAGACTTTCGAAGAAGGCGGCGGCGGCCGACCCGACTTCTGATCTGGCGGCGGCGGAGGTAAAGGCGGCGGTGTGACTGTTGCTTTCGAAGCGGCGGTGGCGGCATGCAGCGTCTGTGGCTCGATCGTCTTGGCGGCGGCGAGCCTACTGCCGTCTGGCGGCGAAGGCGGCGGAGGTGGGGCGACCTGCGGTTCTGGGCGAGCGGCGGCGCGGCGGCGGGGCGACCTACGGCTCAGGGCGACCAGCGGCTTTGGGGCGACGACGAGCTCGGGGCGACCATGAAGGATTGAAGGACGACCATTGACGGGCGGGCGGTCGACTATTGTCGAGGCCATGAAGACCGGCGACATCCCGGTTGCGCCAACGCCGGCGTCTGGCTCCAGGTATGACATTGTTGTAACTCATGGATGTTGGCTGCTATCTCGTTGCATTAGGACGATTATGTGGTATATGGTGATAGCTCGTTATCATTTGTTTTTTGCTAGGATGTTTTCGTTAGAGATCAACGTTGAGGCCTTTATGATGAAAGACAGTGGTGGGAGAAAATCTTACTGTAAGGGAAGGGTTGTTAACTGGGCTGTGGAGCTGGGCACGGTTACCTTTGATTTACTGCTTTGTGCTTTCTAGGCTGTCCAGTGAGGTCAATTGGAGCTCTAACCAGAAATGCGCAATTTGGTTCTATGACAAGACTCTATGTGAGGATGTAATGCTTGTAGACGATGTCCAGCTCCAAAACATGTTTGAAATGTATAAGTCAGAGATGCATTGCCAAGTCCCTGTAGTTGTGAAGGATAAAACTGTGTGGGAACAGCATGAATATGATGGTTTAGAGCCCCTATGTGTGCTTCCAGCTGACATAAATCCAGCACTAAAGCTCTGCTACTTATACTGAACTACAACTAAACCTTATCCTTCCTGATCTAGGAATGCAGCCTGGTCCGCCAATGCAGCCTGAACCACCAGAACCTACTGATCCAGAACCACAACCTGAACCTACTGTCGAAGAAGAGCGTGACATATTTGATAATGAAGAAGAGTATGTTGGCGTCGATGATGAGCATTTGTACATTACAATTCCACCTTCACAGCCATCTTTGAATGCACAAACAGATTCTGCCATGCCTACTAATGCTGCCGATAAAAATGTTGCTGCTGAAGGAGCTATACCTCCTGAGGCAGAGGTTTCTGATGCAGATCCTGATGAGATAAGGGTCCTCCATGACCCTGAGAACCCTACAATAGAGAAGGGTGCCTTATTTCCTGACATTATCACCTTCAGGAAAGCAGTGAGGCACTATGCAGTGAAGACAGGTTTTGAGCTTGCTCCTGGAATCAAGACTGGCTCTACCAGGTATATTGCAAGGTGTAAGCACCCTGGTTGTCCTTGGCGTATTCATGCTTCAAGGATTCATGATCAGAAAACTATACATGTATAAACTTGTTCCTGTATCCTTGTACTAAATTTAGTTTGGATGTGCATACTACTTATCCTTGTACTAAATTTAGTTTGAATGTGCATACTACTTATTCATACTTGTTTTTGTTCAGATTAAGACCCTACCTTTTGCACACAATTGTCCAACCACAAAGCTTGTTGTAAACAAAATGCCTTCTCAAGACTGGGTGATGAGTACAGGCCCGATCTTCCGAGAGGTAGCCGGTAAGTTCGATTTGTGGAGATCTCGACGTTGGCGATCCGGCTTCAAATCAGACGTGATTCGAACCCTGCAACCGTTACACCACTGCTCCGTTGGTTATCAACCAAGCACAACTTGATTGACCTCGCCAAGAAGGCTTTTCCTGTAAGCGAATCGAAGAGCACAAGCAAGAAGGTAAAACACGCAATCTGATATTGCAAATATGAATGACGCGAATATCAATAGAGGGTTCTAGAACTCGGTTCCAAATGACTAATCGACATAGTGGAGGAGATCAAGAACGGGGGCCCTGGATCATTGTAAAAGGATTTGTCACCACAGTTACAATGAACGATTCAGTTTCTCGATGGAAAACTAAACTCTAAACAAAACCCAATTGTGTAGCAGGGCGACGGCTGTGTTTATAGTCTAAGACTCGACCTAGGGTTGGGGACGGCCAGAGGTTGGGCGCCCATAACTTGGGCTTAAGGCCCGACACGATACATGGCCAAGTTGGCCCAAATAGGTGACGCAACACCTTGCTGTGGTCACACAGAATGATCCACGGACCTTCTGGAGCTGGGACCAGATCCAAAACGACGGTGTCGTCGTCCCCTTTCCAACGCATCCAAGAACGGCCCGTTTCGATGTCGTATGAGAAAGTTATGACCGAAACAGTGACGACGTGTCTGCTGAATCTGAGGGCGACATGGCAGCTGAGTTGGGAACGAATTGCAACTTAGGGAAGACCATGGCGTCGGTGTGTCCAGCATGGCGATGTCCTCATCATCCTCCCCTTCTCGAATTGGAGTCGTCCTCGACTCCATCTTGGCGATGTCCTCATCACTGGGTGTCAGATAGACTGAAAGATTGGCTGAAGAAGAATCCAAGCAAGCGCCCGAAGGCAGCTAAGGAGAAGGTTGAGGGAGATTATAGAATAAAGCTCAAGTACAGCAAGGCATATTCAGGCATGCAGCTGGCACTGCAACATATTCTTGGTAAATATGAAGAGTCATTCAAATTGCTATTTAATTGGAAAGCTCAAATGGAGATAACATGTCCAGGTAGCATTGTAGAGATAGATGTGGAGAAAGTAGGCAAGAAAATGAGGTTTAAGAGGATATTTGTAGCTCTCAAACCATGTGTGGATGGGTTTATAGCTGGTTGTAGACCATTCATGAAGCATTACGCAGGAGATGTTTTCACAACTCATCTCTATCCGGCTGCTAGAAGCTACACTGAGGGGCTGTTCAAGTGGCACTTGAATAAGATATATGAATTTGCTCCTGAGGCAATTAAGTACTTGGAAGATCACCACAACCGAATCTGGTATAGGGCTGGGTTCTCCGAGGACAGTAAATGTGATTATTTGACAAACAATGTCTCCGAGAGCTTCAATAGGCGAGGGAGATGAAAGGGCTGCTCATACATGAGTTAGTTGATGGACTCAGGGAGATGATAATGGAGAAGAGGTATCTTAGGAGAAAGGTTGGTAGAGAAATAGGGGAAGGCATTCTACCAAGTGTCATCAAGGAGCTGAACCTAATTAGCAAACACTTGAAGGTCGTCAAAGTTGCAGTAAGTGATGAGGATTTTGCTGAGGTAACCCTGCTTGATGACTGGAACAACACCAAAAGGCATACAGTGGACCTAGTAAATTATTGTTGTGGCTGCAGGCAATGGCAGGTCACAGGAAAACCTTGTAGACATGCACTTGCTTGGATCTTGTCCAACAGAGGCTTGGAAATCAAGAATTTTGTGCATGAATACTACTCTGTTGCTAGGTTCAGAACAGCATATGCAGACAGAGTTCCACCCATGCCTGATATGGCTGACTGGACTGAGGTGGAGCTAGGATACAAACTGCACCCACCTCTACAGAAGAGGGCAGCAGGCAGACCTAGAGTGGTCAGGATCAGAGGGAGTATGGAAGAAAGGGCAAACAAAAGGAAAGTGAAATGCAAAAGATGCAAAGGCTTTGGGCACTTTGAGAAGACCTGCAAACTTGCTGAACCAACAGAAGATGATGATGGTATTGATGAGGCAGCTACAATTGCATCACTTAAAAGGTATATTTCTTATTCCTGATTTGCTTATGAATGTACATGGACAAGGAATGTTTAACTGGTAGCCATCTGTTATAGGGTGAGAGAAGAAGATGAAGGACCGAGCAAGACACCAAAAAAGAAGAAGCAGAAAACAAGTGCAATTAAGCAGGCGCCAAAGAAAAAGAAGACTCCTATAAAGAAGAAGCTTATGAAGGCTGCAAGTGCTCCTGAAGTTAGAGTGGTGAGAAGCCTCAAGAGTTGGCTCGACATGGAGTAGATGCTGTTTTTTCTGTGCTTTTGCTGGTCTAAGTGACCTGATGTGTTCTCTGACTTTGCTGGTTTAAGCCTTAAGTGAACCAATGTGTGTTTTTGAAGTGACCTGATGTGTTTGGGGAACTATGCACCTAGAATGGTGTCCTCTGCGTGGGTGTTAAGTAGGATCTTGCGAACTATGCATGTGGATCTTGCGAACTATGCATGTGGACCGGTGGAAATTCCATCTTTACTT